AACATTATTTCTTATTAAACATAAAAAAATATAAAAAACTGCAATAAATTTGATTTTTGTATTAATATTGTTGTTATTTTTTTGTCAAACACATTAGATGTTTTTCTAAATACATTAACTTATTATATTTAGTATTTAAAGAATTAATTTCAATCAATACTAAAATAGACAGTTGATTAACTATCATAGGCCAATTTTAAAAATTAGTTGAACTTGTTTTTAATATAGCTTTTGAACATTTTCAAATAACCTTAATAGTAATTTATCTATAATATATGTATTTTACAAATTATGTTTTAATCAAAGATACAAATGTTTTATATTATTTTTTATATGTCTTCAATTAATATATATATAATATAATTATATATATATTCAAGCTATTAGCTAATGACAAAATAATATCAATTGTAACAGATAAATTAAATGATGTATTTCATTACACATGTCATAAAACGTTTAAACATCTTAAAATATAAAATATAGTCTCAAAATTAAATACCAGTGATAAATTTTATTTGTAAAAACAGAACATAAACAATTTTCATTAAATAATATAAAGATTTTTCAAATATCGCTCTTTTGTTTTTTGTGTGTTATTCAAATAACGTTTTAAGAACAATACTCTGAAAAATTATGTTATTATCTTTTAATTCTGTCTTATATCTTTTTCAATAATATTATTTATCTAATTAATGATTTTAGTTAAATTGTTGTTTAATTCTACTCAACAAAAATAATTCTCTGTTTATTGTCAATATTGTTTTAACTGTATGTTTTAAAAATGATTAAAAACACAATCAATTAATAAATAAAATGTGTATAATTAAAAAGCAATTTTTAAAATCAATTAAGAAAACCAAAAATTATTGTTTTTTTGTCATTTTTGTTTAAAGTCTTCGTTTCTAAATTTTATAAAAATATTATTACACATAATAATTATTATTATATATGATACAATATACTGAACATAAACAAATATATTGTTTTCAACTCAAAAAATTGTCTGTTTTAATGATCTAAATTAATTGTGTGGTATTTTATGTTCCGGTCTTAAATTACTTGTTTACACATGAAAATATTAAAAAGTTTTGATATTTAATCATCCAATCTTAAAATTGAAGATTGATGATAAAATCAATTGTTTAATTTTTGTTGTAATAAAATTATAATGATTATTTTTTGAATGATTTTCAACTATCATTAGGAAATGTTTATATATGTTTTACATATTGATAATTATGAAAGTGTTAATATTAAATCACTTGATAAACACAAGTGTGATTTTAATAGATAATATTTTTTTGTGTGTAATCATTTTTAAATAACATATCACAACATTTATAAATTAAAGACCAACAGAAAAAAGTCGTACAGCAAGAAAATAGTCGTACACTTGTGATTTTAGTATCAAACAAACTAAAAAATCTGGATTGTTTTTTCACTTATAGAATTTGACTAAACAATCAGGAAAAAAATTGGGTTTTGAAAAAATAATAACCCGACTTTATAAAGAAAAATAATATAAAACAACTTGTACGACTATTTTCTAATGTACTACAATTTTGTGGTGCTCTTTATTATTAAATTTTTATACATGAATACTCGTTTTCAAATGTATTTGGATTTAAATAAAAATAATGAATTTGTTTAAACAATTATTGTTAATAATTTGTGTTACTTAATGAGTTTTTAATTAAAAAAAAGTGTGGTAATAATCAAAACAAAGTATATCAAAGGTTGGTATTTTTTTAATATTTTTATATGACAAAGTTTCGAAAAAAACCTAATTCTACAATTCATCATATGTTCATTTGTTTCTGTATCAACGAATGGTGATTAAAAATTAAATCAATATTTTTATATGTAAAATATTTTCTAATTTAATATGATTACAAAAATATATTTTGAAATAATGCATTATTTAAAGGAAAATATCTTTGTTTGTAACTTATAACAATTATCAACACCATATTATCCAATAAATAGAAGACAAACTTTAATTAAATAAACAAATTGAATAAAGTTTGTCAAATATGTACATGTTCTTAAACTGAAAAGAAAATTCTTTATTTTAAAAAAACAAAACAATTGTTACCATTAAAAAACAGAGTAAAAAATTTGTTGTTTTACGATCTTAATTGTCTGTAATAAACATCATGATATTTGATAAGACATATTAGTGTGGAATTGATTTTTGATCACAAATAACGATGTTTGTTTTTTGGTATGATATCATTAAATAAGTTGTTCTTTTAAAAAAGTATTTTTCTATATTTTACACATTTCATTTTTTATTTGACATTTATTTTTTAAAAAGTCTTTAATCTTTTTTAATTAAATTGATCTTTTTTCCTCTTTGTTTTTTATTCCAATTCTAATTTTATTTTTTTTTCTTTTGCATTTTCCATTATTTTTTTTCTGCCAAATATTTTTAAATCAACCAACCCGCAAAAAACGGGAAATATTTTTTTTCATTAAAAAAATTTTCTTTGGGTATTTTTTCCCGCCTCTTTACATTAACAAAATTAAAAACAAGTTTTTTCATATAAAAATCCGCAGTTTTGGGCTCAATAGCTTATTTTGGGACACCCTGCTATATCATACAGTTAGATTGTCATTATAATTTTATTTGTCATTTTTTCAATTTAAAAAACAATAAAAAATAAAAATGAAAAAAAATTAAAATATTTTTTCATTAGAATTACCCCCGTCATAGTGTGCCGGTATTAAAAAACAATTTTTTATGAAACTCAATATCAAGTGTAAATGTAAAATTAATGTTTTTAGTTTTATTAATGTTAAAGTTTAAATTACACAATGATAAAGATTAAACTATAATAAATAAATAAATAATAGAAAAGTTAAATAAGTTTTTGATGATGGTTTGGTCACTCTGCCTAAAGCAAAAATATTATAGTTAATTTATAATTAAAGTAAATTATTTTATAGTTTGATATAAAAAAATTACAACTAAAAACATTACAATACATTTCAGTTTATATTTATTAAAATATTTTTAATTTATTAAATATTAACTACAGTTGGGTCATTAAATCTTAGCCCAGGAAATTAACCTTAGCCCAAAGAAAAACCAATTTATTTCTATTGTTATATTAAAATAATAAACTATACCTAAATAAAAGTCAATGTTCTAAAATATTTGTTTTTTTAGTAAAAACCCGTGTTTTTAAAGAAAAATATAGTAATTTCTTTGGGCTAAAGTACATTTCCCGGGCTAAGGTTCATTTTCCGTACTGTAATATTTATAAATATTAGTCTTTCATAAGGCAAAGTTTCACATAAGGCAGAATTACCATACAATATTTATTATTTTTTATTATTCTTGAAATCTAAATTAAAATAATTTTATGATGTTTTACTTTTTTGTTTTTTTGATTATATTTAGAATATTATTTACATTTTAGTGTGATGTACGGGATAATCCACCATATAATAAAGCGAACTAAAATTGTAAATGAACTCAAAATATTTGTTTTCTTTTTTTTAGTTTATAAAAATATATATTCCAAATAATCCCGAAATTTGATTTATATTAATAGTAATAATTCGAATAATTTGTGAACAATAATTTAATCCCCGAAGATGTGCCAAAACGGGATGAAAGTTGTACGGAAAAACAATGAAAAAAAAATAAAAAAACACTTTAAAAAAAGATTTGCTCAAAATAATTCGAAATGCTTCTTGGTACGGAATTTTTTGCAGGAATAGAAAAAACCAAGAAAAAAAACGAAAAAGAAAGAAAAGATTGTGATGGAAGCCTTCATTAAATAATTACCAAAATATTTGAGAGATACCCCCCATTGATCAGCCATACAATGTCCAGAGGAGTGGGCACTATAGTAAAAAAACGAAAAAAAACAATGAAATTCATAATTTCAATATGAAAAAAAGTAATGAAATTTTTTTTTGGTTTTCAACATTTCGAGGTTCACTTTCCTATAAAAACGAACTTGAGATCTTCAAAGTAATTATGATGTCGGCGTTCACGCCAGTCAGTCCTAAGAACTACCAACAAATCGACTCTCTCTACATGACGCCAAACACTCTTATCAGGAAAAGTCCAGTCAGTAGTGAACTCACTCTACTGACTGGAAGACGATATCGGCAGAGTGAATTGGCAAATCAAATCTCTTCGATCCAACGGGAAGTGTTAGACATCTCTCAAAATTTGGACCAAGACACTTCTGGTTCACAAACGTACGAACAGTCTGTTAACAGACTCTGTTACTTACAAGCCATTCTTAAACAAAAACAGAAACACCTTCTTCGACTCCAAAAAAATGTTGTTGTTCAAAAATCCATCAGATCAAAAAAGAGAAACTTGCTCCTCAAGGAAAATTGAAGTGTTTATAGCTTGACACATTGTCTCGCCTTCTTCATAGTTACTTTTATTAATTATTATTTTTATTAAACGTTATTGTTTAAGAGTGACGAGAATTTTTGATTTCTCAAAATTTTTTAAATTTTATAATTAAATTGTTTGGTTTATTTTTATTTTTAATAATATGAATAATATTTCTACAAGCAAAATTGACAAAAACGTAACAATTTCGCAATTATTAAAAACATTTTGATTGTTTTGGAAAGCCAAAAATAATTTGATAGTAATAATTATATTAAAATTATATTATTTATTATAATTAATTTACAATTTTTGTTATTTATTATTTTTTAAAATAAAACTAAATTATTATTAAAAATTAAATTAAATAAAAACTATATTTTAAACAATAATAATACTTTTATTATTTTTATTTTTATAATAATTATTATAAAGGACTTCCTTTCTTTTTATTAATATTAATTAATCAACAATTATTATTAATTTCATAATGAATGAAATGTTTTTTTTATAAATAGTTTTTATTTGACAAAAAAAAATCATTTCAAAAAAAGTGGAAAAACAATAATAAAAACATTTTTATATCCCGAAAAACAAGATTTTTTGATTCTTTCACAATCTTCATTTTTTTCTCTTTTTTGAACGAGAAAAAGAAAGAAAAACTCAACTTAAAAATATAAGGGAGCATGGTGTTTATTAAGAAAATCCTTTTAAAGGGATTCAAGAGTTACCAAGAACAACTTGACTTTGACGACTTTGATCCCCATTATAATATAGTTGGTTTGTTATTTCCATGAGTTATGTAATACTTATCAATTATTAATAATCCAGTTGGCAAGAACGGTTCCGGCAAATCGAACTTTTACGACGCAATCCGGTTTGTCCTTTGTGACGAAAAGTTTGGGAACCTTCGTGCTGGCGATCGACAATTTTTGCTTCACGAAGGGAGTGGGGAGAGTGTAGTTTCCGCGTACGTTGAAGTCATTTTTGATAATAGCGATCGTCGCTTTATGGTCGAAAAGGATGAAGTATCAGTGAAGCGGTGTATTGGTCTTCAGAAAGATGAGTACTTTCTTAATGACAAAAAGGTGAAGAAGGAAGAAGTTATGAATCTTCTAGAGAGTGCTGGGTTTAGTCGTTCGAATCCATATTACATAGTGCAGCAGAATCGCGTGAATTCCCTTGCGATGATGAAAGACTCCGAACGCCTTGATTTACTTCGAGAAATAGCAGGTACTCGTGTGTACGATGAGAGACGTGAAGAGAGTTTTAGCATGTTAAAAGAGAACGCCAACAAAATAGATCAGATTGAGGAAGTCATGAATTACATCAAGGAGAGACTAACCGAACTCAAAGACGAGCAACAAGAACTCGATGAATACGAGAAGTTGGATAAACAGCGGAAAGGCATTGAGCGAGCATTAGTCGTGAAAAAGATCAACTCATTAAACACCGAATTAGAGAAGAATGAAAACGACAGAAAGAAACAACAACGAAAAATGGAGGGGGACAGAGAAGGCGAACTCCGCGAAGTGAAACGAGCACGAGAGGCGTTAACTGAAGAAGTTTCTATATTAGAACAAAAGAGGACAATCATGTCTTCTCAAGCAGAAGATGCGGCAAAGATGAAAGAAGAAGCTGATGAACTTGTTCGATGCGGAAAGGAGTTAACTGCCCTTCAAAATGAGTTGAATCACCAAAAACAAAGAGCAGAAGACTTGAAAGGAAAGATTTCTGGCATCAATGCGGAGGAAAAGGACTTGAATGACACACTACTTGAAAAACAAAGAAACATGTCAAAAGCTCAAGCGCTTGTCGACGAGTTTTACAACAAAATTGGGAGGAAAGCAAAGTACTCGAGTGATGAAGAGTACAAGAACGCAATTCAAAATGAAATCGACGAGCTCCAAAAATTTGTGACAAACAAAGAAGAGGAGATGAAGAAGATGAAACAAGAAATTGTGGAATTAAAAACAACAAACATGACACAAAGCCAAAAGGAAATACAAGGAGTCTTTGTAGTCAAACGGAAGATGGACGAATTGAGGAAGAGAAAAGACGATTTGACTGTGAAAAAGAGACTTGTCGACTCGAAGATCGTGACCTTTGAAAACACACGACAGACAATGACAAAAGACTTGTTCAACCTTTATAAACGAGCTGAAAGCAGTCGAATCAAGAAGCAGATCACAATCGCCGAGTTTTTGAAGAACTACGCCGACGAGAAACGCATGAATGAAAGTACTACAAAGTACTTTGGGATGGTTGCCGAGAACATTACATGCAAAGATGAATTGTACACTGCAGTTGAGGCAATTGGAGGGAATGGGCTGTTTTACTGTCTTGTGGATACGGACGAGACTGCGATGAAATTGATCGAAGTGTTGGATGAGAAGAAAATTGGACGGATGTCGTTCATCCCACTGAACCAAGTGAGGGACAAAGACGAGATGGAGAATTCCAGTCGTTCTGAAAATGGGGAGGGTTCTGAGAATGAGACGAACAAACGACTTATAATCAAAGAACTGGAGTTTTCTGATGAAATTCGAAAGGGTGTGCAGTTTGTGTTTGGTAATGCGATACTCTGTAACACCGCTGAGGAGGCTATGGAGTATCAAAAAGAGCACAAGAATCGATGTGTAACGATAGACGGGGATGTGTTAAGTGGGAAAGGAGTAGTAACTGGTGGGTATCAAGGTGAAGGGTCACTCATGGTCCTTCGTCTTATTGCGGAGACCAAGGTCAAAATGATTGAATTAGAAAAGGACTTTTTGGGAACGGAGAATGAAAAGAAATTGATTGAAAAGCAACAAAATGAAGTGTTAACGGAGATGGAAAAGATGAGTACGGCGATGGCTGAAGAGGAAGTATTGTATGAACGACAACGGATGGAGAGAATGATTGAAATGAAGAAGGCTGATCGGGTGCGAGAGGCTATTCGACAGAAAGAGAAAAGTGTTGAAGATGCCGACAAGATGATATCGATGAATTCGCAAAAGATACTTCTACTTGAACAAGAGATGAAGGAGAAGAGTACTGTTGATAGAAACACGATAGAAGAAGCCAAAACCGACTTAAAAGAGAAGACGAATGAAGTCTTGGAGTTAGAAAAGAAGCGCACTGAAATTGAGAACCGACGACAAGTACTTAGAAATGAGTATCAATTCCAAGTGCTGCAGAAAATTAGTGAAATTGAAAAGAGAATGAATGGCATTAAAGGCGGTGGAGATACGGGTGATGTTGAAAAGTACAAACAGATGGTCAAGAAGAGCATCAGTGACTTGGAAGAGATCACGAAGGAGATTGAAACAAAAGTCAAAGAGCAACGAGAGCTTGAGATCAAAGAAAGAGCACTTGAGGTGGCTAAGAGTAAAGAAGAGAAGGAGGATATGGACCGAGAAAAGAAACTTACGCGGCTCTTTGAAAAGCGGACTGTTCTCGAGTCGAAGAAAGGGGAGTGTGAAAAGCGTCTGGAGGATATTGGGAAGATCTATGACATCATTGACGAGAATGAACTTGACTTGGACGACCAATTAGAAGAGACGATGAAGAAGTTGAAAGGGTATCGCCATGTGAATAAGAAAGCGAGAGACCAGTATAAAGGGTTTATTGAACAACAGGAGGGTTTGATGGATAGGAAGAATGAGATAGTCGACACACAACAAACGATCTATGACTTGATCGAGTCACTGGACGAGAAAAAGGAAGAAGCGATTGAAAGAACGTTCAAGGGAGTGTCGAAAGGGTTCTCTGAGATTTTCACGAAACTTGTCCCCCTTGGCAAAGCAAGTCTTGTCATGTTGAAGAAACCAATCGAAGAGTTAGATGAGAAGGAACGACTCGCACTTGGTGCGTTCACGCAGTCGCAAACGATGACTGCGACAAACAACACGAATACGGAATCGACACAAATCCCCATCAAAAAAAGGAAGGAAAAAACAGAAGTGTACAGTGGCATATCCCTGCGAGTCATTTTCCCTGCGTTTGGAGGCGACGCGAAAACGATTCAACAACTCTCTGGTGGTCAAAAAACGGTTGTTGCGCTGTCGCTCATCTTTGCTATTCAACGGTGCGACCCAGCGCCTTTTTATTTGTTTGATGAGATTGATTCCAATTTGGATAATGTGTATAGAACAGCCGTTGCGCAACTGATCACCGAACAGTCGAAAGAGGCACAATACGTTGTTACTACATTTAGACCGGAGTTAATAGGTCCGGCTAAGAAATGGTATGAAATCAAACACCAAAATAAGGTGTCTTCCATTTCAGTGGTGACGAAAGAAGATGCACTCGATGTTATAAAGGAAGACGAAATTAATAGGAGCGCCGTTTCGACGCCATTCCAAACGCCACTGCAGACCCCTAAACAACCCGAGAGCTCGGAACAACTCACCCCAAATGTCTAAGCAAATTTGATTTGATTGCGTTGCTTTGTTTCTTCAGAAAAGAATAAAACATAAAACTAGTTAAGAAAAAATCAATCAAAAGAGTGGGTCATACTTCTTGTAGAATACAATAGGCTTGGGTGGGTCGTACATAATCGACATAAGTCCGGTACCTAACCCTACTTGGTTTCCAACAATGATACTCTCTGAAACACCAGCAATGTCGTTTTGTCGGGAGTGCACCGCAGCGTCAAACAAATGGTCGTTAGTTCTTTCAAATGAAGCGAATGTAAACACCGAGTCTTTCATTTTTGATATGCCGTACCGTGTGATCCCAAGAATGACCCCTTTGAATGTCATCAAATCGGACAACAAGAGCAAGTGTCTGATATCAATCGATAGACCATAAGCATCCATGACGTTCTTAATTTCTGAGATAATGGTCGACCTCGCAGCTTCAATCCCAAGCACTTTCTCGACAACCATAATGTGATTGCATGTGGTACTCTCTCCAATAACACCAGCAACGCCCATCACTTTCAGCAGCTCACTGCCTTCGACCAACAACTCAAACCCAATTTTGCTCTTGTTAATCACAGCTCTCCCAGTGCCTTCTATCCCACACACAATGATTTCCAAAAGTTGGTTCCTTAAAGCATTCAACGAGAACAACAGCGACGTGTTCACTTTGTCAACATACACTCGCAGCTTATCAACATTCCTCACTAAAACTTGTTTCTCTTTCAATTTGAGACCCCGCGTGTTCAACAAAATGTCGTGGACTTTCTCTGCACTACATTCAAGTTGCAACTGTTTGATCGTCTCAAAGTCAAGTTTGATCGACACGTACGCCTCCGCCGGCTTAAATACAATCTTCACCGACTTCGCTATTTCTTTCAATTTGGTCGCTTCAATTCTTCCTTTCACAATACGAGCCGAAGTCACATCTTTTGAGTTGACAAGCTTTGCTGTCACAATCGGGGTTTGGATCTTCTTACTTGCATTAATAATTTCCTTAATACGAGGAACACCAAGTGCAATATTCATCGAGGCAACGCCCGCAAAGTGGAACGTTTTCAAGACCATCTGTGTGGACGGTTCACCCATGGACTGACCAGCAAGGGCGCCCACTGGGGTCCCCGGTTCGCAGATATTTCTCAGCCCCTTTTGTTCGCACACTTTGACAAACTTCTTCATCGTGTCGACAGTAATTCCACACAACCCATCCCTCACACTCTTTTCCGAGTAATGAGTGTATACCTCACTCATCTCACTCTTCTTTTTCTCCATAAACACATCAAGTTGCGATTTCCACAAATCGGTGACTATTTGAACACCGGTGAGCGCTTCTTTGTAATAAGAATCAAAGGTTTTGGGGGTGATGTACAAGTCTTCGGTCTTCTGGTGTTGTTGTAAATTAGCTAAAACCGACTCGTAGTTGATGGGATCGATATCACACTCGACTTTCAAAGGGTCCAACCCATCATCACCATATTTGAACTCAATCACCGTCATCCCCGCACTTCGAACCGTCCCATCATAATGGACATGCAAGTCTTCCAACGCCTTCATCAGTCTTCTCTGCATATATCCGGTCTCGGCAGTCTTCACAGCAGAATCTACAAGACCTTCTCTCCCACCCATAGTGTGGAAAAAGAATTCGGTCGCATTGAGCCCCGTGAAGAACGAGTTTTTGACAAACCCCTTGGCCTGTGGCGTTCTCGAGTGTAACGGAAAGTGTGGCAAACTCCTCGATATGAACCCATCAGAAACTCGTCCTCCATTCACAGTCTGTTGCCCGACACACGCAATCATCTGCGAAATGTTAATCACCGACCCTTTACTCCCACAAAGCGCCATAACCAACGGCGAATTGTCACATCGCAACTCGTCAATGCACCTCTTCCCAGCTCGTTCTCTGACTTGTGACAACTCGGAGTTCAGCAACGCTTCAAGTGTTTGCTCTGGCGTTGAACCCGGTTGAATCTCTTGTTTCCCGTCATTATAACTCTTAATGAACTGATCACACTTTGCATACCCCTCGCCAACTAACTCTTCTTTCATTCGTGTTAATGACAATGACGGAGTGACGTCACTAATCCCAATGGAGAATCCGTAGTCCCCCAAAAATCTCGCACAGAAGCGCGAAATGTGCGCCATCATCTTTGCACTGTCGAGAAGTCCGTAGTCCCGCAATATCAAGTGGAACAGTCCACTCTTGTTCCCAGACCCTATAATCGCTTTGTCGATTTGTCCACACACCAATTGACTATGTTTGAAGCAGATCCACCCATCTTTCATACACATCCATTTCCCCTCTTTACTGTAATTCTTGCTTGGCGCATCAAGACAAATGTCCACCCCAAAATTCGGATTTGGTCGCAACGCAAGGCCGTACAACTGTTTGCCAGTCCACAACTTCTTCGGTTTCAAATACGCCGGTGTCGGCAATCGGATCTCGACACCAGCGTTGTGGAACCAACATGACCACAGCATCATCTCTTCTTCGGTCACAACAAAGTCTTTCGCCGTTAACAAGAATGACACTGTCAAGAAATCCTGAGTCTCTGCAATGATCATCTGTCCTGTTCTTGGCGTTTGTAAGTTCTTTGCAGAGTGCATCAACATCAAACATTCAGCACGCGCTTCTTCTGTTTGTGGGACGTGCAAGTTCATTTCATCGCCATCGAAATCTGCATTATACGGCGTACACACACACTCATTGAATCTCATAGTTCTCCACGGTAAGACCTTAGCAATGTGACACATAATTGAGATTCGATGGAGTGACGGCTGTCGGTTGAAGAGCACAATATCCCCATCTTCTAAATGTCTTTCAACAATCTCTCCAATCCGCAGTTCCTTCGCAAACTTTTCTCTCATCTCGGGCTTGATCATCATGGATCGTCTGTTGCCATCAATCATAATAATCCCATTACACCCAGGATATGTGTCTGGACCATTTCTTACCAACTGACGCATCTTCTCAATATTATACCGCGTGACTCTCTCGGGGTATGTCAGTGTGATTGCCATCAACTGAGGTACTCCAAGTTGTTCCACGTCCAAATTGGGATCGGGGGAAATGACAGTTCTTCCCGAAAAGTCGACTCTTTTCCCCAATAAGTTCCCTCTAAATCGACCGTGTTTCCCTTTCAGTCGTTGACACAACGATCGCAACGGTTTCCCTTTCTCCTCACACATCGGCAAATCAGAGTTAATGATCAACGACACCGCAACAGTCAGTTGATCCCACGCCTCATAAAATTGATATGGGGAATATCCCTTCTCCATTAAAGCAATGATCTTCGTGTTACACTCGACTACTTCTTTCAATTGCGTTGTTAAATCATCCTCATTCGATGCATTCCCACCATCCATCGAGACGGACGGCCTTATAGTTAATGGCGGGACAGGCACAGAAGTCAATATCAATTTCTCTGGCGGTGCGTCCGGTGAGAAATCCATCGCCTCGATATCTTCTCTAACCAACGACTTGAATATATTCAACACTCTCAACGGGTCCAAGTCCTCCTGTGCGTTCCCAAGAAACGCGCCAATTTCCTTGTCCATCTTAATACTTTCATCAAACCCGTCGTAAAACTCGTTCATCTCATTCAAATTGGGATCTTTGTGATACTTGTCATGCACCAATTTGATGTTGCCATATTTCCTCACACTTCCATTGATAGCGTTACAGTGCGGACACCCATTGTAGTGTTTTCTGCATTGAACTATGAGCGCACGGACCAACATCGTCCTCTGAATGGTATCCGTCGTTTTGTTTCTCATTCGTTTCAAGTAGTATTCCCGCTCCTCGTCAGTCAACAACAGTCTATTACAGTTCTTGCAGACACATTGCAACACTTGAATGATCGGGCGGAAGAATCCGATATGGAACACCGGAAGCGCTAAATTGATCTCTCCAAAGTGCCCGCAACACTCGTCGACATTCTTCCCGCATGTCTTGCATGTGTTCACAGAATCACACACTCCCAGTCTTCGATCCAAAACTCCATCCGGATTCGGTTGTCTCGACCCAATAACAAACAAGTTCGGTTGGTTCACTTCAAACTCTCCAATGCGGTTCATCTGTGTCTTATCAAACATCGTAAATTGGATCGTTGTGATTTTGCTCGGACGTTCAGACCCTCCGATAAATGGGATATCTTCCTTCTCTATCGAAATCTTGCCGTTCGACTTCCCCTTGAAGTCTCGGCGTTTTCCCTTTTCCTCGGTCATCTCTGATTTTTCAGTTTTCCTCGTAACAGACTTGTTTACTCACATCTTTTTTTCTTATTGTTTTAATAATTGTTTTACTATTTATTTGATTACTATAGAAAAAAGATTGTTGAGTCTTTTCACTCAAGCCACAAATAACATTTTTTATAACAAAAAAGGGTTGGCATTTTTCTTTTTCTCAAGTTTTTCCTTTTTCATATACTATTGTGTATAGTTTATACTAGTATAAGTGTTCATTATGAAAAAAAACTATTCAATAGTAGATTTTATTAGTAAATCGTCTCACCAAACTACATTCTTAGATACAACTATACATATAGAATTTGTTATACATTGACAAACTATATAATAAATTTAACTACAAATATAGGATTTGTCTATTCCTTTGGTTTGATTTCTTCGCCAATACTCCTTCCCAGTGCGGGTGTTGGTATTTGGCTTTCGGAGCTGAACTTCATTGACAGTGGTTTGTCTTCTGGGGTGAATTTAATGACGACGTCATCGGGGAAAATCTCGATTGGTTCGAGTGACGCTTGCGAGTCGATTTCAGCAGCAGACGTGTTTTTAGTTTCCCTCAACGAGTCTCTTTTGGCAGACTTTGTTGGGTTCTGACAGACAACCAGTTTTTGAGGTTTTTCACTTTTCATTCGCCCAAGACCAACAGCTTCTCCACCACCAAACAATGAAGAAGAATACATGGGAATAATACTAGAAAGATCTTCTGTCTCTTCTATTCTCTTTTTAATTTTAAAAGCTATAACGGTACCATGATCACATTTCCCGGGATAACGTACCGGGTCGATCGGCAAACGCTCACCAGGCTTTGTCTCTAAATACCGCCGCGACGCTTGTGTCGTTCCGACAACGTACTCACTCATCTTCTCAATAAAATTCTACGTGTCATTTTATATTTCTTCTATTATTATAATAAATTAAACTAGAAATTATAGTAGTTCAAAAAAGAAACAAACGGAGATTGACTGCGAAGTGTTAAAGAAGGAATAAACAAGATTTTCCGTCCACTTTTTCTTTTTTTCTAAAAAGTTGGGGCATTCCCTTGCAGCTTCCCAATCTTGGCAAAACAAGCCCAGTTCACTTGGACAATTCCCCAAAAACGAAGGATTGAAATTGTCAACAAAACCGTCGGTTGCCACGAGAAAAACGTCATTCTTTTCGCAGTGCGTCAAAGTCAAAGACGCGTTTCGGAGATCGGGAAAGTTTTTATCAACAAAGGGACCGATCCGTCCACCGCAATCTGTGGCCTCTTTCAGGCTTGTTTTTGAGTCACTGACAACTTGACAAGCGCGAGATTGAGATTTCGAGATTATAAAGGCGGAACAATCGCCTATAGATAGCGTCAAAATAACGGGCAAATTTGTCATTGTAAACGCAACGACCGAAAGAAGGACTGTTGTTGTGCCAATGCAAAACGTTTCAGGGCTCTTTTCAATGATAGAGAAGTGGCCCATGACGACGGAGTCTACCATTACCTCTGCGACGTCTGTTGTCGTCTTACATTTGTCAATGTTTTCAATCATCGACTTTGTTATGGTATTCACTGCATTCTCCGACGCAGAAAAGACGTTTGTGCCCAACCCACACCCATCAGCTATGACAACTATCATCACGTCTTTGTACATCACTGCTTTAGCTTTGTCGCATATTGGATTGCCTATTTTCTTGCCGTTACGAAATGGGTAAGTTGAGAGTGAAGTATACGACAACGTGTCGGTAGAAAAGATTGGGTATAAGGACGGCGGAGGGGTTGTATCAATAACTTCAATTGGTCGTTCCATTTTGGTAAATTTGAGTGGTATTTTTTCAAGGGCATTCAGTTTTTCGCCAAACGCCTCTTTAAATTGTTTTTGTGTTTTCGTTTGGTCAGACTTTTTCATGCGTCTTGTGTTTTCTGTATTTTTGTGATTTGAATAAAATCAGTTCTTTTATGATAGTTAAATTCAAATAATATAATTAGTTAAGTTGTATTCAATTAATAATATAATTACTATATTATACAAAATTGGATATAGTTTTATAAGTAAATGTATTCAACTTAACTAAATAAATAAGTCTGTTCAAACTTAACACTTAAAATAACCCCCTTATTTTTGTTTTGGCCTGTTTTTACGGGGATATTAATCAAATTTTTGATGATTTTCCTTTTTTGGCTTGTGTATTGTTTATACACATAGTATAAACTCTAAAAAAACGGAAATTTATTTAATAAACTCGAGATTTCCCGATTTTTAGATCACTTAAATTTTGTTCAATGTTATTTAAAGTGTTAAACTGGTGGTTAAAACACAAATTAAATATTCAGTTCAATGATTTCATAATTCAAAACAATAATCATCATAAAAATTTAAAAATGGTGAATATTAGCTATTTTATAGTTAACTTATAGCTAAAATAAAACGTGATTTATGTCTAATAACAAATTAATAGTTTTTATAAAAGTTATATTGACAACCAATTGTCAATGTTTTTTATAAAGTATCTTTGTTTTGGTATATAAATATTTTATTAATAATAAGTATATTATAATATATTTAATTAAAAACGTGTAATAAATTTATAATATTATTTTTACTATTAATAACTAAAAACAAAAAAACAAGAAAATTCCTAATAATTTAACTTTTATTAATGTCTAAAATAAAAATAAAAAAATAATCGTTAATGCCAAGAAGTTATTTTAGTAAAAAATATCAAACAATTTGAAAGACCATAAGGACTGATAATCATCAACGAGTAGTTTTTTCAATGTTTTTGCTTAATTATAAATAACTATTCATTTATAATTTCATATATTAAAGATAATAAAATAATCAATAATAATGTGATTTTAACTGCATGGTTGGGTAAATAATTAAAAGGTGTTTCTATTTTATAATAGTTTTTTACTTCATCTATATTTATTGTGATGAGAAATTAAAAATGATAGACAATTTACTATATGCTTTGCTAAAGTTTTGATTATATTATTTGATAACTATTATCATCAGTAAAATAGTAGTTTTTTTATTAATAAGTTATACCAAATTAAAAAAATGCCATTATCAAAAGCGATTTGACTAAAAAAAGGGATAACAAATAAATTAAAAAGCTTTTTACAAAAAAAAGTCATGGCAGTTTTTTTGTTCGAAAAAGTTGAAAAGAAAACAAATTTATAATTTAATTTAGAGTAAATTTTACGTAAAAAACGGCTACAATTCGGGATCTTTTTTGTTGCACCTTTATTCAATACCTTATACTAAGAACAGAAGATTATTCCTCATCATCTGCAATCTGAAAATTATGAGTGAAAATATAAATAAATAGATTTATAAGTTAAAAGAAGAGTGCACATAAGTTCAAACTAAAATGAACAAATCGTCATTAATTTACTTTTTCCAAGTTATTATTTTCATTTTCATGTAATTTTTAATTTGTATTGATGCAGTTTTAGAATTGAAATAATCACAATGATTAAACTTGTATCGTATTTGGTTCCATTAACCATTAATTATAAAATAATTATTATGTTTATTCTAATAAACTCAAAAAATAAGTGTAATCTATAACCCTGTGTTGGCAATTTGAATTTACTATATACACGATAGAATTTTCAACTAAAAAATCCAATTGCTTTTGTAATTGTTGTTTAAAAATATATTGTGAAAAAGGAAATTGAAAAATCCATTTATATAACTCAAGCAACCCTTTTTCGAAATCTATTTCGATCGTAAACTGGATTATTCAAATTTCCCGTTTCTTTCCAAATTTCACAGTTACAACTTACTGCACCTTTTTTCAATATAATCTCCAAACTTTACTCTTATAAATAGAACACCCTAATGCAATATCTGTGTCAAAAGTATCAAATTACACGACTGAAATTTAACGAAGTGGTATTATTATGTTCCACATGCCGTTCGAAACTTATAAACAAAGTGAGAAAAGAAAAAGTATGAAAAATATATTTACTCTTTACCAAAATAAACTGCAGTGCTGGCCTTTTTCTCTCCATTTCTGTGTTTTCATACTACAAAGTAAGCCAAATAATGATGTTAATAAGGTAATGAAAATCCATCAACACTTAAGTAAATAAAAGTGTGAAATATAAATAGGGATCTTCCGTCGCTCGAAATACCCATTTAAAAAAATGCAAAAAATTTGATATTTTTGGTCGAGCAAACAAACTGACCATATTGAAACACGGCCATATCAGCTTAAAGATCAGGAAATCGAGAATGTTCTTCTTCAAACACAACAAACCGACTATGTCCAATATATTTTTGGTTAACTTCCATCGTTTTTGTACGGAATTTTCCTCTGTTGTCGAGGGACAAGACGGTGGTGTTTGGGAAAAAACCCAAATCAAGTGAGAGCCACTCAAAGGAAGAAAAATGGGTAGAATGGAAGAGGAAAGAATAACAAACACCACGATGACGAGCACTACATTCTTAGCACTGCTATTTGAGAGAACGAACTCAAAAACTTCTATACAATGCAGTCTCTTGCAAGTCATACTCAAACGTTTCGTCCTTTCAAAAAGGCCACCAAAAAGGTGACTGAGACAAAAGAAAAAATCCATTGGAGTGATCCCAAGTACACTGCAAAGAAGAGAGAAAACAAATCTTTTGAAGCTTATCAACAAGCCGTTCTCTTATCTTTTTTAAATCAATACTGTTCAATAACAATTGAAAAAAGAAGACGACAACCAACGGTGACCACGAGTATCCCTAATATAAAATCCTTACGATTCGAAGCCGAAGAAATCGATGTCGCAAGACTTGCTGAGGAGCGGTGTAGTCAAACATTCGACGAAAAACACTTCACAGGCAAGAATCAACAAACGGCAACACGACGTGTTCAAAAGAACAAGCGGATTTTCATCCACAATTTTTTACTCGATGTCTTAGTCGAAAAGGGCTTCTTTTTTAACTCCAAAATGTCGAAGAAAAGTAAACGGGGCTTTCAACTCGAGCGCCTCAAACATGTTTTCTTTAACAATCAATTCATAATGGGTAAGAAGGAAATAGAAACCGTTGGCGAACAAGTTAACACCATTTTATGTAAACTCGTCACAGACACAGTTTCCGTCGTCACTATAGAAAAAAACGACCCAAGACTGATGTTGACAAAAACTTTTTAAACTCGTGCACAATGTTCATAGTTGTGTTCGGATGGCACTTCCTACAGCGGTGTCACTCCACTTTCCGCACTAATTTATCTTGTTGTTTTCTGCTCTTTTCTTATTTCTTCTATGATAATTAATTAACATCATTTTTTAATTTACCATTTCTTTTGATTTTTGCTTTTATTTATAAACAAAAAAGAGCTCGTTAATTTGGTGTTAATATTGTAATAATATTATCAATTATAATTATTTATTATAGTACTATTATAATAAATAGTATTAAATAGTAAATTACATGTAATATTATTATTATAATATTATTATAGTATTATTATAGTAACAATAAGAATGTTACTATAAGATTACTATAATGAATAAAGAATGAATGTTATAATAGAACTATTGTCCAAACCAAATGAAACCAAAAACAAAGAGTTAGCACTGCATCAATAAGAAGTCATTTCGACTTCTAAACAGATTGCAGTCACAATAATTTTTATTGAGAAGGCCGAACAAATCTCCAGATACGATCCAAAATCCGCCGTACGGCCACAATATGAAGGAGAGAATGAACGTGAATGTCAAAAACCACTGGTTGAATCGGATCATCATCCCCGGGGTCTTCTTCGACTTGTAACAGAACTTCACAAGTTTGACTTTGTCACATGCATATTCAATAGCAAACGATAACGCACCAATTAACATCAAAATGGGTGAAGTCGTAGAACCAACTAAGACATTAAACTGTCTGAAGTAGATTTCAAAATACTCACTTTCAATTTCAAATTGTGCCTAAAAGTTAGTACGTTGCTATATAAATATAGTAATATTATTATTATTATAAATATATTATATTATTATAGTAATATTATAATATATAATATTACTATATTATATATTATAAAAATTCTATATTTCCATTACACCACAAACCTCAATATCAGTCTCATCGAAGTTCTGTTTCCAACAAGGCAACAAGCACTTCGCGAGTTTTATTTGGAGTTTTTTCAACACGGGGAACTTGTGCTGTATGAATGGCATTAACAAGCCGAAGAAATTTGTGAGGACCAAATCGGTCAAGACGACGGTGAAGAATGTTGATCCAGCGGACGCGAGTGGACATCCTTTATCGAAGTTAGTTAATCGATTTGTGATATAAATTGACATGACCAAGAAAATTTTACCGATGAAATATTTGATGGTTCTTCCGGTGACGTAACCGATATATTTTCTATGTTTTTCGATCATTGAGACCAACTTTGCGATGACGCGAAGTATTTGATAGAATATGTAGAGTAGCACAGACACTAAAATATCATAAAACGAGAACAGTGGGACGTTGATCTTTTGTAATTGATCGTCGACGAACTTTTGAATTTTGTCTTGTTCGGGTTTGAAGTAAATAACGACGACAAGAACGCCACAAAAGAATAAGGTGAAGAGCATGAAGATCACATATGAAAGGACTTTAAACGACTTCCGATTGATCCACGACGACTTCCCTTTCTGAAGCATTGACCCATCTTTGTCCCGTTCCGATGGCATTGATATCATGTTGACAAAGTCCTTGTCGATTTCCATTAAAATCTTTTCCTTCTCGTATTCCCTCTTGACGATATTTCGCCGGGAGAGGTAGTAATATAACCCTTGTCCTAAACACACAATGAAAAAGAGGATGTTAGTGATGAAAAAGAAGTAATAATTGAACGCACCAGAACCATACGCTTCGATGTATAATATCGACATCGGATTGGTCGTGACTGATGCATATTCACTCTGTACCGTCCACACAAACACCATCCCAACACCTATAATTAAATCAGAGAGCATCACGTAATACAAAAAGTCAAAATAGAGCGATACTCCCAACCCAAAATTTTGGCGAAGCACAAAATTCGTCGTGAAAACACTTAATGGCTTGTTCTTCTTTTTCGAGTCCTCAGCAAGTTGTTGGGGGTCTGTAAGCTGCGGTTGCACATTATCAGAAACTGAGATATCCCCTATCGGGTATGCAGTCGGCGTCAGTTCCACTGCGTCAGTCATTGTTTTTTGTTTCTTTTGAGTTGTGCTTTTTCGATAGTTATCACATAATAATTTGCAAGTGTTTAATTTTATTATTAATATTATTAAAAATACAATAAAATATAGTTTTCTATTCTTACATCTCCATTTATTGTTGAATTGAATAGACACAAGAGGAATATGAGTGGTATTCTATTTTCAAGTTTTCAGTATAATTACTTAACTATAATTATCTGGTTTAAAATAATTCAAATAGTATTTATGTTTTAGTATTTTTGTAATTAAAGTACTATAAGTTTTTTTTAATAAATTATGAAAAACATAATGAAACTCTGATTTCAACTGCAAATAAATGTTATATATAACATTATTGGGAATTAAAAATGTTATTCGAACCCCACCATAATTGAATTAAAAGAAAAAGAATAAAGAAGAAAAGGTGGGAAGGGGACAGAACGTTGGAACATTTAAAGCATAAAAAAACGGGAGAGAACTACTGGAAAGACTGAATTTCCCAAGTAAAAAGATGAGCAAGAAGATTTCCATCCAACTCTAAAATTCCAAGAACTGAAAAATTGGGTTTAAGACAATGAAAGTCAATAAGGCTTTACTTCAACAAATCCATGTGTTGTGTGGGATGCTTCTCTTTGGTACGGGTAGTAGCGTCACGATGAAATTGCAACTTGAAATGGAGTGTACTGGATATGACAACGTCTCGCACACCTTCGATAAGCCGATCTTCCAGTCGATCATTATGTTTCTCTCGATGTCACTCTGTTTCTTTATCGAGAAGCTCATTGAGTTGTACCAACGCCGAACAGCGAAAGGTGGCGAGTACGCACAAATGAGTGATTCTGAACAAACGGAGTCGCCGTCTGTCTTTGTCATCTTAATTCCAACAACATTCGACTTAGTAGCGTCGACCATTATGACTTTTGGGTTGATATATACGCCAGCTTCTGTATTCCAAATGTTAAGAGGTTCTATGATCATCTTCTCGTCGATTCTTTCTCGTATATTCATTGGCAAGAAAGTGAGATGGGGACAATTACTTGGTATCTTTATTTCTGTTGTTGCGCTGATTATGGTGGGTATTTCGGCGATATCAGGAGGCTCCTCTGGATTGAATGAAACCACTGGCCTTCAAACGTTCTATGGAATTTGCCTTATTCTTATCGCTCAATTCATCCAAGCCGGTCAAATCGTTGCCGAAGAGTTTTTCATGAAAAACATGTCATTGCCTCCTCTTAAGGTTGTCGCGTTCGAAGGCATTTTCGGTGTCATTGAAACAGTTTGTGTCATGTGCCCACTCGGGTTTTTCTTGCCGGGGTCAGACTACAGCACCATGACACACAACTCCCTTGAGAACACTTACGACTCATTCATCTGTATGTTTAACTCGTGGGGTATTATTGGTATCATGATCATCTTTGCTATTGCTGTCCTTGGTCTCAACGCGTATGGTATGATGGTTACTAAGTATTTCAACGCAGTCAACAGAACCATTTTTGAAAGTGTGAGAACAGCGTGTGTGTGGGTAGTAATGGTTATCATCGAATTCTGTTGGAAAGGACACGGTGAGGAACTCACATGGTGGTCAATTTTGGAATTGGCCGGTTTTATTGTGCTCTTCTTCTCGTCTCTTATCTATAACAGAATCATCAAAATCCCATTCATTGAGAAATACGATCTTATCATTGATGAGGATGAAAAGCAGAAACAAGCCAAGAATAATTGATTTTTTGCATTGATTGTTGTATTGTGTTTTATCATCTTCTAGACATTTTTATTATTTTATTATAATTTCTGTATATAATAATAATAATAATAATAATAATAATAATAATAATAATAATAATAATAATAATAATAATATATTATAATAATATAATATTATTTAAATTATAATTCATTTTTATTATTCAAATTCTTAATTTGATAATAGTTTTATAAGCTAATTCAAATAGATTATTATAAACAACTAAAATTATCTATTTGATGTGTTATTCATTAATAGATTTCTACTGATATAAAAGAATCAAAGAAGATATTATATTGAATCTATTCAAATAGTTTAAGTGTTGAAAAATTCATAAAACACACACTTTCATTTAAACAAAATGATTGACTTAACTCCATACTAACGCACAGACTCTAGACACCGTAAAAGTATTTGGGAAGTGCATTCCAACAATTTCGTCGACGTTATCAATCCCATTGTAGAACAGTGGCATCTTATTTGAGATGAATGAATTTCGTGTTGCCCCGACATAAAACCCGCAATGTGAACCAACGACAAATTCTTCGTTATCATCCGAATACATTTTTAAAGAGTACATTGTGTCTTTTTTAGTATACTTTTTAGGCTTGAGAACACTTTTCCCAGCCAGACAGAATAAGAAGAACCCGGGGTCTTTTGTTACATAAAAGCCATATCCCGTCTTTTCGGAGTTAGGGATGACTGCAGAAGAGAAAGAACCAAAGACGTTGCCGTTGTTTGTTTCGACAACAATCATCACATTGTTCTTGTTTTGAATGACATTATTAATTGTATGTGAAGTGAAGCCATCCTTGATTGAATCGTATACCACTTCATACTTCTCCTTTTCAGTAAACTTCTTCAAATCGTCTGTGAATGGTTCAAATGTTTTTTGAGCAATGAGTTCATCATAAGGTGGGATGTTAGTCATATGTATAGTTATATCAGATATTTGCTTTTGCAGGTCTTTCTGTGTGATTTCATTATGAATCACCCGACTTGAAATCAGTGACAAATTCGTTTCTATTTGAGTGACTTTGTTTTTTAATTGAGAAAGCTGGTCGTAAAGCTCTTCCTTTTTGGAGGGCATTAACTACTTTTCAAGTATTTATTCAATTCATTGAATTAGTTAAAGTTAGACAAAAGTTTCATCAAAACTAGTATCTTTTGTAAAAATTATTATTAAAATTTAATTAAAAGGTACTTTTGTCTAACCATGAATTCAATCATAAATTGACTATTATGCCAAAAAAGCTCAAAATAGAGGAAAGTGGTAGTTTTTTAGATAGTAAAACTAATGGTTTTATTAACTAAAATATGTATTTATATTATTAGAAATGTTTTTGTATTTTAATCAATAATGGCAGTTAGTTTATTAAGTTAATATATACTATTGATCGAATTAAATGAATAAAAACAAACTTCAAGAGGGAATATAACCGTTTCTATTTCTGTTTTTGGTTCATCGTTTTTATTTCTTGTATGAGAAATTTAGGATAAATAGTTTTAATTGAGTTGAATTGTAATTATATAATTAGTTTATTATAAAACTAATATCTTTATAGTTTCATTTTATTAATTCATTAACTACATTTTTGTAATGAAAAATTGCCGAATGAAAAAAATGGTGTTTTATCTTGAAAAACAAATAAAACTGTATTTCCAATAAAACGCCATTGTTATTTTAATAAAAAGTATTATAAATTAATTATAATATAGGTTTGTACATTTTAAAGTATTTATTAATATATTACTAGACAACAACTATAATAATGGGGTAAATCATTATAATTAATTAAATATATTAAGTAATAATACAATACAAAAAAAAACAAATGATATAATAATAATTTCATAAACTATAAATAACCCATACGAGAAAATCACCAAGAGGTGAGGAGAAGTGATTTTTCTGTTACAGCCGCGTTTACAGTCTCCGAGACCTGTAGAGTGTCAGAAAGCAATGCGAAAATTTTGTCATTCACCTCCATTTGTTCGTTTTCGACTTCCATCTTTTGTTTTGAATCGTTGAGAGTGCTGACACAAATTTCATGAACTGTTTTGCTTAAGTTGGAAATATTGAGTTTTTCAACAAGGGGAACCATTGAGTTATGAATTTTGTTTTCTCTTTTTGATTCGCGAATGTGTTTATTTAAATCACTACAATAACTTTCATGTGTGATACAATATGCCATAATCGAAGATTTGAGTTGATATTTCATATACAAAAAAAGATGGTGAAGCGTTTTTTGATCTTTAACAAAAGAAAAAAGACGTTTAAATTGTTCTTCGGGGACTAAAGCATTCACTGTGTCAATCACAATCGGCTCTATCAAATCCATTTCTCGGATTGTTGTCATTCTCTCTTTTTATCTAGATTTTTGTTTTTTATTCTGTTTTTCAAATTACTTTTTTATTTTTCTCTTTTTGGGTTTTTTCAAATATAACTAAATTATTTAATAATTTAAAATAATAATTATTTTCATCATTTTTTTAATTTATATGTTTATTAACAATTTTACTTTTCAATGTTTTATTATAATTAATTCTATTTTTGATAAATTATAGTAATATTTTATAATGGTATAAATAAAAAAATATAAAATTAACAACTATTAATAAACGATACTTAACTAGTAAAAAGATTTAAAACAAGGGTTGTATAATTAGTGTTTTTAACACGAAATGATATCTCTTACTAATCAACCACTATATTGATAATAGAGGGTTATTTCTTAATATTAACAAAAAATATTGATTCCATTGTATTTATTTTGTAAAACACGGGAAACTTAAGTATTCAACAGGCACTTCGGCATAACTAACTTTTATAATCCACACAATTATTGGAATTATTGTCTTAATTTTATTTTTAACCACCAATAATCCTTTTCCGATATATTATTAATTATAAAGTAGTAGTATGAAATACAATAAAAAAGCCATTTGGCCTTTATTCCCATCCAAAGTCCTAAAAAAAACACGTTATTTTTTTTTCGTCTACTTTTGTCATTTAAAATAGTTTTCTGATGATTTAGTGTCGGCATTTCATTACTTTATGTATAACAAATTGTATACATATAATACAAAATATCAATATATTATAATACATATTAATAGACTATTTCTAAGTATAGTTAAAATGCATAACGAGTCAAACTAGTTTATACATTACCAGTTATAAAGAGCTATACGAATCTAAACTGAAAGAACTATTCATTACCACAACAAATAAAATTCATAACAAGAAATGAGAAATTCCTTTTCAGAAGAAGAGTTGGTCCTCAAAAGTCACTGAAAAAAAAAACAGAGAGCCAGAAAAAAAATTCGTCTGTTGTTTTCACAAGTCAAATGGAAACGGGAAAAGTCGCAACGATTAGAAGACAATCCCATAAGTGAACAGACAAAAGTTATATTTATAACACAAAGAATTAAATGAGTATAACAGAAATGGTTTAGAGGAAGAGTTCCAGACGGTGCGGGAAAAAGCACCAGACACTCCAAACCCACGACAAAACGAAATGAAAACGGCCATAAAACCAGAAACAAAAACTCAAAACACTTCAAAACCAGACAATACGATGGACCCAGCAGAACTTCAAGAGTTGGACGCGTACAACGGACTCGACAACAACGACACCGACATCGATTTAATAGCCAAAGCAATGGAGAAAGCTAAGAGCGTCACTGTATTAACGGGCGCAGGCATATCCGTACAAAGCGGAATACCAGATTTCAGGTCAAGTAATGGTCTATGGAAAAGATATGACCCTGCCGTCTACGGCACTTTAGATACATTTAAAACACGACCGGAACTCTTCTGGAGTATGGCGGAAGAGATTCACAAGATCGACGCAAAGCCAAATGATGTGCATAAAGAGCTTGCGCTCTTAGAGAAGATGGGTGTTGTGAAAAACATTATCACCCAAAACGTCGACGGACTTCATCAAATGGCGGGATCAAAGAATGTCATGGAAATACATGGAAACACACGAACGTGTTACTGCGTGTGCTGCGGATATATAACAACGACTAAACACATTTGGGAAAAGACCGAACACCCGAGTATCGATGTGCCGAAGTGTCCGAAGTGTGGCGGGTTGATGAAACTCGACGTCATTTTATTTGGCGAGAAACTCGACCAAATCACCTACCAAAGCGTCACGAAGGCGCTTGAAAATACAGACTTCTTGTTAGTCATCGGAACCTCTTTGAAAGTTGCGCCTTGTAATATTATCCCAAAGAGCGCAAAACAAAACGGAGCACAAGTAGCGTTTATTAATTGTACTACAACTATGATGGATGAGTATGCGGACTATGTAGTGAGGGGTGACTTAACTGAAATCATACCTCAAATAGCGTCAAAAGTCAGACAACTTGTTTGTGTTTATACATCGAAAGATATTATTACTATTGTTATTACTATTATAATATTATTATAAACTACTTATAAAAAATATTGTGTTGACAACTAGAGGAACAAAACAGTATCACCACTCCAACGAGCATTTCTGTTATCGTATTCGATGTCATTTGTTATTATGACAATGTTACTAACGATTTATAACAATGTGTTCCATCAGAACTTTAAATTGAAACAAAGAGAGGGGGGAAAGACGGAAATGGTGTTGAATGACTGCGAAACTGAAAGTGATGCCTTGAGACGACACTCCGTCCCCTTAAGCGATACTATCGACTAATGTGCTTCGTATACAAATGCTGCACTTCTTTGTTTGTATAGCAATTTTATTCATTTTGTTTAACTCTTTTGTTTCATTGCTAATGAAGAATTGAGGCATTCAAAACGATGATAATAGGTAATAAATTAAACATCACATTTCCATGAAGAAAAAGCCGTTATTGAAGTTGGCAGAATAGAAATCGAACACCGAGCTTTGTGTGGTGGTACAGCTTTTCATTGTCTGTACAAGAGGATCTTCAAGTACCTGGAGTTGAACTTTCGAGTTCTTTTGTTTTGTCACTTCATGTGTATTGGAGCGTACCTTTGGCATCATCAATTGTGGCTTTCCAGACGTTGCAACGAAGGACAAGTAACTTCTCTTCTTTGTCAGTGAGAGACGCATTGATGTTCTATTTAACTCCTTTTGTTGGCTTTCATGGATAATCTGTTCTTTTGCAGTGTCGGACAACACCACCGTTTGACTCTTTGCTATCAATTCGTCGTTTTTCTTTTTCATTCCAGGCATCCCACCTTCGAAAAAAGAATGTGGCTTTGGGGATGTCTCCAATGAATAAGTGTCGTCAATATCAAAAGAAGATGGTGCCACTGGAGAGTTCGACTTGTTCTTTCTTTGTATAAAAAAGTGTCCTGGTGGTGTTCGACCAACGACTGCATTTTGCCAACTGTGTTGTGTAAGTGGTTCCTTTTGAGTGGCGTCTGTAATAGTCTTTCCTGTATACCGTGTAGTAGAACACCCGCGCTCCGCAAGTGGTCTGAATGGTCTCCCCTTTTGGCCAAACGGGGGGCTTTTACTTCCTATTTTGATTTGTCGTGGTTCCACAAGAGCCATGGGTGAATTGAATTCGCTTTTTTAAATTCTTTTCAAAAGAAAAAGAATTCAAAGAATGTTTATGAAAATAAAACTATATGATAATAGTAAAAGAATTATAAATATAACCATTTAAAAATGCATGACCAACCCGATAGACTCCGACATTTGAAGGGACTTTTCATAGGGTTTTCCTCTCTTTTTCCGCGAAACTAAGAAAATTTTGGAGTGGTAAGATGAAGGGGAAGCAACAGACAATCGACTCCATTGAGTACATGTTTAAACAACGCAAAGACGAGTTGGAGAGTCAATACCAAATCTTTGAAGACAAAAAGGAACAACTTCTTTTTCTTGAAGAGCAAACGTCACAAATGCAGAAAGGGATTCTGAGGACGTCCGTTGTCGGAGACTTCATGAACGAACAGGCAAATCGAAGTTTCCTGTCGATGAGGACCAAATGCGCGATGTCACTGAAACACATCCGCGAACTCATCGCAACACTGTCGCAAATGCTGAGAGAGATCGACGACGACTTCATCAAACTCACAACTTACATGAACACGATGAGGTATAGGGATTCACTCTTTATCGGAAACCAAACGCCACACGCGACAATCATTATGTTTCGAAGAAATGGCGCGATCGACACGGATTACCAGACTTTAACCCCTAAACCGTTTCCGCTGTCTCTCGATGAGTACATCGACGTGCAAAAAGGGATCACCTTCTATTGCGACAAAATCGAGCCGTCGATAGAGAACCATCTCGCGCCCAAATTCTCGTTTGTAGCATTTCATGGGTGCAATTACATCGTCGGGGACATCGCAAACCATAAGGTGAAGTATATATCGAAACACAAAGAGGGATATCAGACAAAAGACTTTCCCGTCGATGTCGAATACCCAACAGGAATCGCTCAACTCAAAGACACGTCGAAGTTCTATGTCACTGATAGACAGTTGCATTGTGTTCATATCATTGATATGAAGAGCGGGAGTGTGCGAGCGTTTGGTGGGTATGGGAATGAGAACGGGAAGTTCAACGAGCCGACGTGTGTAGCTGTGGATGACGACAACAAAGTGTATGTCTCTGATGGGATGAACAATCGAATACAAATCTTCTCGAGTGAAGGCGTGTTCATCTCCGCGTTGAGTATTCCCAAACAACGAACACCATTTTATCCACACTGTGTACTTTTCGCTGATGACCAATTGGTCATATTAGATAACTGGGGAAGTTCCGTCTTTTCTATCGATCCCAAACTCAAAAAAATCTCATCGATTATCTCTAGATACGGGGGAGGTGCCAGTTTTGTCAATCGGCCAACGTATGCGGCTTATGACGAAGTCGGGAGGCTTTTCATCTGTGACACGGGAAATAGGAGAATCATTTGTTTCAAACAAAACGTTTATTTGGGCGCTATTGAAATGGAACCTTTGGGTGTCAAGGGAAATCCTTTGGGCATCGCTGTGAAAGACAACTTCCTCGTCTTCACTACCACTGCGTTCGAGCCGTATTTGTATTTCATCAGCACGAAAACATTTCCAAACCCACCTACAGATGGCGCACTCTAATTTATTTTTGTATTTTGTTGGTTCAAAATAATCTTCTTCAAATTTGGTGCCTCCTGAGAGGGATTTTGACTAAGATTTTTGTATTTCCGTTTATTGAAAAAATTGAAAGAATAAATAATTAATTGCATCACAATAAACTATTAATAAAATGAATAAAACTATAAATAAACTATATAACATAAACTATACAACCAAAAGTGTATCATTGGCTATGCTTAAAACAGTTCACTTGTGTTTAATAAAATATAGTAAAAACAATTATAACCAATAGTAAATTCGATATAAGAAGGTCGAACTCGAAAAGACTAAAAGAATGTCTCACGAAATGGATATTGACCCAACCCTTTGTGATAAAGAACCGAATTACCAGACAGCTGTGACGGGGTATGTCATCACTGTACCCAACGAAACGGAGCAAATCCAAATGTTTTTAGAAACTGACAAACGAATTAATGAATTCCACTTCAGCTTCACAACATTTAACGCGGAGTTGACGCCATTTGCTAAAGGAGGGGAACGCCTTGCTTTTCGAGCTATTACAGAAAAGGGCGATCGAGTAGTTTTAAAACGATTTTATCAACCCCGCCCACTCACGATGTTACTTGAAACGGTAGAACGACAATTGATATGTATTTACTTAGCGAACTTGTTCAACAAACTTAATGCGTCGCCAAATAAACTCCATTTTTTACCAACATATCTGTTTATGCCATCGCCATTGTCTGATTTGGATAACAAAATATTGACATTGGAACAAGCGGAAGAGGCTGTCGCCTTCACACGAAGAACTCCGAATTTTGTCGAACCGTATTTACACGGGTATTTCATTAAATATATCGATAACAATGGATGGATCAATGAAGACGAATTTCACTCGACATTACACGCATTTGCGCATTGGACGTGGGTCCAATCGAAAGGAAATTTGTTGATTTGTGACATCCAAGGAGTGAGCGGGACGAACAAATTTTATTTGACGGACCCCGCCCTCCACCACATCGACTCGAAGAAGTTCATGTTTTCGGAGACTAATTTGGGCGAACAGGGCATCACTAAGTTCTTCTCAACACATCAGTGCAACGCAATTTGTCTCGGACTTCACTTGAGAAAACACACTGCTCAAGTCCTCCCCGACACATTGAAAGGGACAACAATTAACCCAGACGTCAATAAACGTATTAAACAATATTACCAACAACCAGACAAACCAAATGTCACCACACCTACCCCGAAACCTAAGCCACAAAATAGTGTCGGTATTGTCGAACAAGTCGCTTTTAATAAGCCGATTGGCAAATGCGTTGCACTCTTTCCTTTCACGGCGAGGTGCGCGAACGAACTCACCCTTGCCGTCGACGACGTTGTCGACATTTTAGCGAAACTCGACGGGTGGTGGGTTGGCAAGAAGGGCGGCAATTACGGGATCTTCCCCGTCAATTTTGTGCAAGAGTTGCTCGAGAAGTTCTTGTATGTTGCGAACGACGACTTTATTGGTGGACGAGGGATGCTTCCGCTGAAGAAAGGCGATCGCATCTATTTACTTGCGAAGTCGGGGAATATGTACAAAGCTGTCAAATTTTCTCAAGTTGGCTTTGTCCCCAAAACGGTCTGTTCAAGGCAGAGACAAGCACATTGATTGTATTTTTGATTCTATTTATCACTTAAGTCTAGTACTTTGAATGGTAATAAACTAGTGATATGTCACAACAGTCAATTACCCGATTCTATTGTTTTGTCAAGCTCGTGGATGAGCAGTTTAGTCGCTTCGAGTTCCTTGATATCTGCATTGAGTTTCATCAATTTGTATTCCTTGATACTATCAAAGCCAGCTTCTGTACCAGGAAAGTGATAGATGTTCTTTGTTTGCCGTAATGGGACGGGGCGATGCTTCAACTTTTGCGCTTGGATGGGAACGTCATTGGGAAAGGTCAACGTCCGATTGGACGTCCGCAAGTCGATAATATCATTTTTGTGTTGGTGAGCATCAAACGGCTTTGAAATTTCAATAATCGCGTTTTCTGTGTTAACGCCGTCGTCCTTCCGTTTTTCAAGTTCGTTTGTCACAAAGAGGATTTGCTTCTTAATTTCGTCCTCAGAGCCGACAAACAATTTTTTCTTGAACAGCGTTGTCTTGTCTTGTCGAGGTTTCTTTTCTGAAGTGATTTTTGTAGCGCCTACTAATGTGGTGTCAAGTTTTGCTTTTCTAGTATATTGAATAGGACATTTCTTATTATTATTAGTTTCGTCAAGAACTTCGGAGGGGCCGACTTTTTGTGTGTCTTGTTGGACTTGAAGGCTGTCACTTTGTTCTTCTTGTTTTTGCTCTGAAAATTATTTGTCTCTTTTTATGTGTCAAGCACTTAAAATCATCACTCAGTATTATTTTTATTACTATTGAATAATAAGACTTTTATTAAATAAAATAGAAAACACAAACCTTCGAAGTAAACAGTCTCCCCAAAATCAGGGCCTTCGCTCCAAGTGTTTGGAATATCGATTTTGTATTTGATCATGTCCATTAAGCTTATAGTCGTGTGTACCGAGTCATTATTCATCACACTCAATTACTAGTAGTTTTATAGTTATATAGTTCATTATTTATAATAACATAATTATTAGTATTCTTGTTAGAAAAAGAATAATAAATCTTTAAATAAAAGAACTACCAGCAATGTCTAAGGACCATAAATACGCTCCTTTGATCTCTTCCCCGACTAATCAACTCGACAACTCATCTTTGATCATTCAACAAGATAATATCATTACTGAAAGTGTGATCACTCCAACAGCAGACACCGACGAGACAAAACTTCCATTGACAACAAAAGAAAGTAGTGAAGAAAAAGTGACTTCAGAGACCTCACAAAACTCCGAAAATAATAAATCAGAACATTTAGAAAATGATTTAAAAGAACACAAAGACAAAAAAGAAGAAAAAGACGAAGAAGAAGAGGAACCTGAACCATTGACAATAGAAGAGTACTGCGACAACGTCAACTCCGTTATAACTCCCGTCGCAATTACTTTATTTGCGACAGTGGTGATCATTAAGATAATGGAGAGTAGTACCAATTTGTATTCACAAGCGACAAGTTATGTCTTTTCATCAACGGTCGAGTCAAGTACGTCTATACCAACATGGTTAATAGCAGTGATAGTGACTGTAGTCTTTATTGTGATGATCGTTTTAGTGACCTTTGTCTTTGTGTTGTTATTCTATTTCCGGTGTATGAAGATCATAGTCGGGTGGCTCCTCCTCTCCGTCATTCTTCTCCTCATGTTCTTTGGTGGATCCATTTTCCAGACTATTTTAGGTGTTTGGAACTTCCCAATCGATTGGATCTCCTTCAGCTTTTTGTTATTCAATTTTGGAGTTCTTGGTGTGGTCACTGTGTTTTACACTGGTCCGATGAAACTGAATCAATTCTACATGATTACTATTAGTGTGTTTATGGCGACTATTTTCACTAACTTGCCGGAGTGGACAACATGGATGTTACTTATTGGGATGGCTATCTACGACTTGATTGCGGTCTTGTGCCCAAAAGGACCACTGAGAATTCTTGTGAATTTGGCACAAAAAAGAGAGCAGCCCATTCCCGCTTTAATATACTCTACAGCCGTCTGGATGCAAATGGCAGATGTCCAGAATGAACACGACGAAGTGTTCAATAGCAGCACTAACCGATTTACGTTGTCAGAGAAGAAGGGAAGAGGAATAAAATTGGGGTTGGGCGACTTTGTTTTTTACAGTGTGTTAGTCGGACGGTGCGCTATGTATGACTTAACCATTGTATTCAGTGCATCTATCGCTGTATTATCTGTTTGTTTTAGTATTCAGACATCATGTGATTTGTATTGAGTAAATGTTGTATAACCAACGAAAATTGGATTCACTGTTAGGGTCTCTTTGGTACATTGATTCTGCTTGTAGTCTTCAACAAAGCGCTGCCTGCTCTGCCAATTTCGATATTCTTTGGCACACTGATTTATGTGATATCTCGATGGGCGTTAGTACCTCTTGTGACCACAGCGAATCTGTTGGGGTATGTTGTTTGAAAAGTGGAATCACTAAAAAAGAGTCAATTTGCTTTGTGTTTATCTCTTTCAAATGTAAAGAACTCAATCACTTGACTAATTAGTCGCATTCTTCTTTTTTCAAAAATTTTGGGACTTTGATGCCAAGAAGATTTGTGAAGGAACCGGACTTTGAAACTCTGTGGGGGTGACAATTCTGCAGAAGTGAAATAATCTGAGAGGAGTTGTCTGCTTCTATTGCATAGTCTTGTGCCTTTTTACCACTCCTCGTCTTTTTTATGATTGAAACGTGGGAGTCTAAAAGTAATTGAACGTTCCGAATATTTCCATAGAGACAAGCTAAGTGCAGCGGAGTCTCTCCTAACAAGTTTTGTTGGTCGAGTAGATTGTCTTTTGTCATTCGGAGGAGTGTAATACACTTTTCGACAAATGGGTCATCATAGCGGACTAATGCGTGCGCGATGTTATTTCCGTGTGCATTCACATTTGTCAAGTCGACGTTTTTGTTCAAGAGTATTTGAGCCATCTCAAACTTTCCTTGTTCTATAGCCGTGTAAATTGGCGTCGACATAATCACATTTTTTGCTTCAGCGCTTGCAGGGAGTTTCAAAAGAAATGCCTCGACAATTTTTCTATCACTTTCAATAAGTTTTTATGTTTTTCTTCCATTTTCAGTCTTCAAAGTAGAACAAAACAAAAATAAAACAAACTTTAAAGCAACGGCGCAGTGTATGATCTTCCCAAGAAAAGGTGTTTGTTGTATCCAAAGTAACATATTTGAGTTATTCATGAGTTCCATTGCTTCATCTTTTTTATTAAGTAACAAAAGTGTTTGTAATTGACACACGGCGTCTGCTTGATCTTTCTCTTTGTCGTACATACTCTTCATTTTTCTGAAATTATTGGATTAATAGAATGAAGAGTACCACAGTTTATCGTATAATTTCATATATATTGTAGAACTATGATAAATAGAATTATCTAATTTTATATATTAATTAAAGATAGAATGAAATATATCAAAAGTGCAGAGTAATACAATCGCACACAACAAGTTCGCAATTATTGAAGGTAATCATTTAAAAACGCTTTCATAGATTCGTACTTTCTCTCGCCATTATAGTCGGATAGTAAGTCATTTCCGTTGTACATTTTCATGGTTGGGAATCCATCAACGCCCGCTTTCTCACAATAATCCGGATATCTCTCACAGTCGATTTGACACACAGTAACAGATGAACTTTGTAGTTCTTTCGCCAACTTCTTGAAGTCGTGACTCATTTCTTGGCAATACCCACACCACGGCGCATAGTATCTCTGTGGGTTATTGATCTGGTTTGATTGCTAGAAATACAAACAACAAAAAACTTTCCACCATCCGCTTGAGCTCTTTTAAGTCTCTTCGGGGAAGTATCGTACTTTGAAGCAGATACTATTGCTAATAGCACTAACAACATTACCACTGTCATCACTTAAATAATACATTTACTAGTTCTATTAGCTCTTATTTCTGATATGTTTTATATTAATAAAAATTATAATTAATTAATAATTCATGTGTAGTTGATTATAAAAAATAAATCATAGAAACAATTGATAATTTTAAGTGTTTATAAATTTTTATTAATTTTATTGATACAACTATTAGTTGAACTAAAACTCAAGCAAATTTTTTAATACAGTTCTATTTATGGTGTGTGGAAATATCAGTTTTGTTATAAATAATTTATTTTTGTAGTTTGAACTAAATATATTTTTTGTATAATTATAAAAAATGACAAAAATCATTTTAATTATGATTCATTAACTATTATAGTATAATATGTTAATATATAATTAATTTAAAATTTTAAAGGAATCAATTGAAAATGTCAAAAAATTGTGCTAAAAATAATTATTTTTTAAATATAAAAACTTATAGAATAAATTTCATTATTATAGATTAATAACTTATAATATAACTTAACTATTTTTTTAAATAAGTTAATAATAATTTCAAAAATAAATGTCAGATTTTTAAAATAAATTTTTTTTATAATTTATAAAAAAATGATCAATTGCCATTAACAATTTAGTTAAAATTTTAACAAATATAATCAAATCAACCAAAATTAGTAATCACATTTATGATTTCGTTTTTATTTCAACTTTTTTGTTATTTAATATTAATAAATTACTATAAAACAATTTATTTAGTATAGTATCTCATGACCAAAAACTAAAAGAATCTTGAGAAGAAAGATGGAATGCAAAAAAACAAATGGAAATAAAAACAGCGGAGAGTGCCAACGGACTTGTGAGGACTTCTCTTGCGGACAAATACAAAATGTACAAGAATATGCATTACATTGTACAACAGACTGGAAAGGCACAGAGAACTCGTGTGATTGTGGTGGAGGGGTCTTTTTTGACTCTCTTTGATATTCAATTGGTCTACAGACTCAACAAGATGGACGACGTCAGATTAAGTAAGTTGTACAGTGTTACTCTTGCAAACAGTGTTGTTGCGCGAACAAACAAGAAGAGTGCCGTGATCAAAACACAAGATGGAAATTTTAGATTTAGTATGAAGAGTAAAGAAGATATGGATGAATTGTTATGTGACTTGGATCAGGCTGCACGAACTCTTGGGTGTTTATATACTTATTAATTGAAGAATTTGAGTTTGCTTCTATACATCAAAATTGATATAGTTTGATTATTAATTAAACCATAATATTCAAATCCAAATTATTATTAAATTGAGAAATTATATATAGAATTGTGTTTTTTCATTTTTGATTTACTTTACTTTTTTTTAATACATTAAAAATAATATTAAATTAAAGACTCACATCACCAATTTTGATCTTCATTTTTTTAACCATAATTAATTCTATAATTAAACTCATTTAATTTAGAACATTTTTTGAATAATTAGTTTTAATATAGTAAAATCATAGTATTTATAGTAACATTTTTGTTGATTAAAACAAAACTAAAAATATTTGGGATTAAAAACTTATATTTATTAAACAAGAATAAAATAATATAGTTTATTATTTTTTAAACATTTGAAGAAGATTTTAGAGAATCAAGAATCTTTTATGAAAAAGAAATAATCAGCAAATTATTAAAACTGGATTATTTTTTGAACAATTAATTATAAAACAAACTATTTGTTAATAATAATAATGATTATAAATTAATATAACTATTCAATAAAATAAAACTTGTAAAGAAATAGTAAAAATGCCATGAACTCCAAAAGTGATTCATATAGTGTACAATCCAACTGAAAAAGTAGATTAATGACAATCGAGGACAACGCATTTTTCCAATGGTTTGCGGACGATTATAAACCTCGCTTTTTCGACACACAAGAAGAAGATCTGACAGCTTACTTGTACGCTTTTGTGATGTCTCTATTCACACTTTTCATGTTTGGCCCGTTGATGTACAGACTCTTTTATGTACTCTTCTTGCCAAAAACGACAACACCAAAGTCTATTAGTTGGCTCTTCATCATACGAATCTGCAGTATGTTGATTCTCTTTGTGATCTCCTTTATACACGCACTTGTCCCGTTGTGTTACAAATTACTCGACACGTCCATTTACGATGAGGCAAAGTACGTTGACACTAATGAGGGCTATGCGTACTACCTGATCATTCCAAACGCTATTTTGAGCATTGAGTGGTTAATTGTGATGGTCGACTTTTATATTGAAAAGAAGCGTTCTGTCTTCTTCGGTACATTTATCCAATTATTCATCTTGGGAGTCATGTCAATTCAACTCCTCTTTGTGAAAACAGAAACGACTTATAAGCCAGAAAAGACACTTGTTGCTTGGATGAATTACTTGTACAGAATCACCTTTTGGGTGCAAGTATTATGTGAAGTCATCTTAGGGTTTTCTATGTTAATGAAACAAGACAACCGATTCATTAATCCGGAATACAAGCGCGTTGTGTCTAATAACAAAGAAGAGTTAGATGCAGACCGATCATACTCTGGCGAAGAAAAAGATGGCGAGAAAGAGTCTTATGGATCTTCTATTCACTTTACACCAATGACAAATAATGTCAGCCAGTCTTATCAAAATGATACTCTTGCTCTTTTGAGAAATAACCAACCAGTCGACTCAAGAGCCAAACCAAAAAGATCATTTGGAGCACGAGTTAAGCATTGGTTCGACTTTTTGACCTTCTCGAATATCACTGAATTACTTGGGTTCAAAAGAGGATACCAGAAAGGTATGACTATGGACGTGTCTGATATTGATGAGCTGGATATTAACAATCGTGCCAATTACTTAATCCGACAATTTGAAGTTGCTTGGGAAAAGGCGAAACAGAAACCAAAGCCCAAATTGTTGCGAGTGATGTTCCGATTGAATGCAAAGCCTATGTTGATTGCAATCATCCCAAGAATTTTGTACGACATCACGTTGTTCATCCCAATTGTTGCTCAGAAGGTGATGATAGAGTTTGGACTTGCTTGGAGTGACATCAAAAATGGATCGTCGGGATTGAGTTCTGGAAGTTTGACAAATGAGGACATAGCAGATATGTTGCCCGCCAGCGATCAGAAGTGGTTTGGTATACTCTTTGGATTTTTGGTCATTATAATTTCAGCGTTCTCATCTTTCATGGGACAATACTTTACATTCATCACAACTGTTGTTGGTCAGAAAATGCGGTCGACACTCGTCATGGAGATGTACGAGAAAGTGTTTTCTATGAATGCAAAATCGCAATCCACGACGCCACATGGCCAGATCTTAAATATGATGTCTGTTGATGCAAACTGTGTGAATGATATGTGCTCACAAGTCCATTTGTTGTGGTCGTGTACTTTGGAAGTTATAGTCTCTATCGTTTGGCTGTTCTGTGTTGTACAGTGGACTGCTTGTGCTGGGTTAGTTATCATGTTTATTGCTTGCTTCTTGAACGTTGTTTTGGCAAAGTTTATTGTTAACCAAATGAAGCAGTTGATGATTATTAAAGATACCCGTGTGAAACTCATGACAGAAGTATTGAACGCGATTAAAACAGTAAAAGTGATGGTATGGGAAAGACACTTGCATGGTCAGTTACACGACACACGAAAGAAAGAAGTCAAAAGAATCTTGTGGGTCATTGCTTTTAGAAGTTGCATGAACTTCATCGTCTGGGCAATTCCACCTGCTGTCTCCTTTGCAACATACGGTATTCTCACAATCATTGCTGGTGGTGATGCAAACGCGTTGGGACCAGAAGAAGCGTTTTTGACGCTTGGTCTGTTTAACATCATGAGACTTCCACTTATTAGATTCCCAAAACTGTTGAACGACACGATGCAAGGTGTCACTTCGCTGAGAAGAATTCAAGAGTTCTTGATGAAAGGTGAAGACCAAAAAGACCGAGATGCAGACAATGTAATTGCTGCTGTTGAGACTGCAGCACCCGATGCGCCAAGTATTGCAGTTGAACATGCGACATACACATGGGAAGACAACGACTCGACTGCACTCTCAGACATCAACTTCACTGCGAAGAAGGGGCAACTGATTGGAATCATTGGTGAAGTTGGGTGTGGTAAGTCCGCGTTCTTCCGGTCATTGCTTGGTAATTTACACAAGACAAATGGTATGGCGTTGTACAATGGGAAGATAGGGTATGTTGCACAGAATGCATGGGTACAGAACTTGACTGTTCACGACAATGTTGTCTTTGGAAAGAAACACAACAACGACGTCTACGAGAAGGTTGTTGCGGCTTGCGAATTGAGAAACGATTTGGAAAACTTCCCAGGTGCAGACCAAATGGAAGTTGGGATTGGAGGATCAAATCTTTCTGGTGGACAGAAACAGCGACTTGCGCTCGCACGTGCGGCGTATCAAAATGCAGACATCTACTTACTTGACGACTGTTTGAGTGCAGTCGATGCAAATGTCGGGCAGAACATCTTCAACAACTGCATCAAAGGCATTCTACGAGAAAAGACGCGTGTTTTGATCACACAGACATTCCAATACCTCCCCGAGTGTGACTACATCTATGTGATGAAGAACAACACATTTGTCGAACAAGGTACTTTCGAAGAGTTGCACGCTCAACAAGGAAGTGAGTTTATGAGACTTTACTCGAATTACGCAGCGAACGTTTCTCATCAGGATGAACATGGCAAGAGAATATTGAAACGTAAATTAAAGAAAGGTGTTAAAGTGTCTCAGTTGATTGCCAAAGAGAATGTCCAAAATGCTGGAGATGCGAAAGCGATGTGGACGTATATCAAATATGGTGGCTATTTCTACTTTGCTATGGTGGTGTTCTTCTTCTTTATTTCGTCATTCATGTTAATTGGTTCTAACTTCTGGCTTGTTATTTGGACAGATCCAACCAAGAGAGCTTCACATGATTTGACAAAAGATATGGATGGATACACTTTAATGGGTACATATGGTGTAATTGTTCTGATAGTGCTTGTTCTAATTACAGTTCGATTTATATGTCTTGGAGCGTTCAATGGAAAAGCTTCAATTAATTTGCACTTTGATGCATTGAATCGTGTTTTGAACTCACCTATGTCATTCTTCCAAGCAACTCCAATTGGAAGAATTTTGACTCGTTTCTCAGAAAATTTGTTTGTTGTTGATGATAAAATCAATTTGTCTTTGGCTCAGTTCATGGCTTCTGTAATGTTGTCATTAGTCACAATTGGAGTGACTGTTGCATCATCACCAATGATGATTTCCGTGTTTGCTATCGCGACTTATTGGTTCTTCTATGTCTACATTTGGTATATGACATATGCACAACAATTACTTCGACTTGATATCATTTATCGAAGTCCATTGTACAACAGTTTCCAAGAGACTTTGCTTGGACTTGACACCATCAAAGTGATGCACAACGAGAGGAGATTCACTTCGATATTGTCCAACAAATTGAACAAACAACAGAAGATTTACTACGCCAATAATGTCTGCCAAAGATGGTTGGGTGTACGTGTTGAAATGATCGGGTGTGTTGGTCTTGGTAGTGTTATTATTTTCAGTGCGATTCAAATTGCAAGTACCTCTCCGTCTTTGGTTGCCTTGTTGATTATGTACATGTTCCAGTTTAATCACATTATGAATCAACTTATTCAATCTTCGGTTGAAGTCCAGATGGCGTCGACTGCTGTAGCTGCTGTTTGTGATTACCTTGATTTGCCATCAGAGAGAGGGATAACGGAAGACGACCCGACAGTGACGGGTCGTGTTGGTCCCAATTGGCCTGAGCAGGGAGACGTCAAGTTTGAGAACTTAACGATGACGTATTCAGCGGAGTTGCCGCCAGCTGTGAATGACTTGACGGTCCATGTGAATCCTGGAGAGTCAGTTGGTATTGTGGGGCGTACGGGAGCAGGAAAGTCGTCGATCATGGTTGCATTGTTCCGGTTGTATGAGCCGACAAGTGGGTGTGTGATCATCGATGGTGTCAACACATCGACACTTTCACTTGAGACGCTTCGGTCAAGATTGTGTGTCATTCCACAAGAGCCAGTCTTGTTCAGAGGCACTTTACGAAAAAATTTGGATGTTCTTGGGAAGCACACCGACGAAGAGATGATCCAAGCGCTTCAAGACGTTAACATGAAGGAGAGTTTATTCAGCAAAGGTGATGGACTGAATCTTGAAATTGCTGAAGGCGGTGCAAACTTCTCGATTGGGGAAAGACAACTCATTTGTCTTGCACGTGGGTTGTTGTCACGATCGAAGGTGATCATCCTCGATGAAGCAACAGCAAACGTCGATTTGCAAACAGAAAAGAGAATCTTTGACGCATTGTTCACACACTGCAAGGAAGCACAATGTTCATGATTGCACACAGACTCCACACCATTTTGACGTGCGACAAGGTCTTGATGCTTGAGAAAGGGCATGTTGTTGGGTTTGGACAACCCGATGAATTGAAAAAGACATGTGCAGAGTTTGCTTCACTTGTTTCAAAAACTGGTCTTGGCGGTGAACACTCCGATGAACAAGAAGACCACAAAGAAGAGAAGGACGTCAAGCCAAAGGACGAAGTAAAACAAGAAACTAAGGAAGAGAAGCTTGTTGATGTGCCCGAAGTTAAAGCAGTTGAACCACCAAAGAGCCCAAGTATCCTTTAATCATTTTTGATTATTTTTATGTTATCACACAAATTTAACAGTAAACAAGAAATATAATGATGTTTAATAAAATCATAAAATTAAATCCAATTGTTTGTTGTTTGAAATTGTACTGTTTTAAGCATCTCCACATAGTTGGAAATTAAAGGATGTCGTTATACGTCACGTGTCCAACACCGTTTAACAACACTGTAAATATTTCAGACGTTTCAACTGTCTTTCAAAATATATTCTTATTATTAATAAATTCGTCAATTTTCCATCAACCAACACATCGTAATCAATTGAAACAATCAAAATGTCGTCTTGGTGTAAGATCACGTTTGATTGTAAATGTTTAATTCACCTTGCAAAGTTTGTCAGTATCTTGATGCGAGGTCTCATGGCAAACAGTTTAAATGTTTTGTTTCTTATCAAATCATGAAGTAATCTAAACTTTGCAAATTCGGTGATCCCCCAATCCAATGCAGATCTGGATTGGGGGATATGCTCTTGTTATTATACTTAATACAAATATTATTTCATTTTTTGAGTACAATCACAAAACCAATTATCAATAAACGTGACAATTTCCACAATAAACGTCGTATTAGTCAATTTATTTTCAATAACTTTCAACATACTCGTTTGGCATTGAACACAAACACATTCTTACATTTGATGCAAAGAATGTTATAATCACAAAACTAAGCACAATTGTATAGTTGTTTTTACACAAGTTACATTTCATTAGAGTCAAAGTAAAATAACATACGAAACGATTTATGCTTTCTACATCAGTACACAATCACCATCAGTTATTATAATACCTTTTTTTTCGCTAATTATAATATATCAACTGTTTTATTAATCATGGTATGATTATTATCACAAATTAAACAGTATCTCACCAGTGGTTATTAAAAATAATTATTTATAAGTCTCATTAGAAACCGTTTTGATAAACATTTTGAAATGTCTTTATTGCATTGTGTATCCCAACATAAACACAACAACACAAGAGTGAATGTTTCTAATAAATTCAGATATTATTTAAATTAAATTTTTATTCTTGTTAAAAAAGTCGAACGTTTTAGTTTTGAAACAATTACATTTATATTTGTAAAGACAAAACCAACATATAGAAATAACTCAATTCACTCATAATCAGCAGATAGCAACGTCAGTAATAACAGATAATTTTGAACGTTTGTGGTTAATATTTTCCAGATACTCCAAGTGTCTTGTTATAAATGTTGTAAGACGAATTAATTGATACCACTACAGGTCAGGAAGAAATAGACTGACTCAATTGTTGATCCTTTTAGTCTTTTGACAAAAGGTTCTGAAAGTGCCGCACATTAGTGACAGGATGCTTTGGTCGCCCAGTCCCAATTTTCCATTGAAAATTAGACACAAAGCATTTATACCCGTCTTGAGAGTATTCCACTGTTGTGGATCATTTATGCAGCCTCTCAAGCACTTTCTTGGCGACTGAATGGCATTGTTTTATAATTAAAGTTTTAGAGTCGATTGTTGTATAATTGTATGACTCTGTAACGAGTTGTACTCGTCGCCATTCATCAATGCCTTGTTAGTAGATC